CATTAGACCATAAGGACCTGTTTTTCTTGACTCAGAAGTGCTAGAATATGTCGATACAACTACCAAGTGTCTTACACGCCAGACTAGCCTGCCTATCGCTACAGCTCGTGTTTTCGCTCGGCAACTTGAGAAGCGGGAATGATATTGACCAGGTGGCGCTGTTCGCTGTTGGAGGGGCACTTTGTACTTTTGCTAGTTCCTTTTGTTGGTTCATGTTAACTAACCGGCCACACTTTAGTTGGACCTGTGAACTCCCCTGAAGCTGCAAAATTGTTCAATTAAGCCACTTTGGTGACGGATGTTTCATAGGTCTTTACGTGATGGCCTGCACAAGCTGAATTGAGCACCACCCAGTCTTCACCAAGCCGAACTGGCGAAGTCCATCAGTACTCAGGTCTTGGGATTGTCCAGTTAGCACAAGTCAACCGTCTGCGATCCGAAACTATTAACGGCACGAATACAATGAAGTGCTCCTAGTTTCTTAGTCAATCCTGCAAATGAGACCTGTAAACTCTTGCTAAGTGCAAACGAAGCTCCTGCTACTGCCTAGCTGCACAGGAATTTACAGGTCTTCACAGGAGGCATCGGCATTGATTGATGGAAACCAGCAAATTGCCCCCACTAAGTCGAAGTGCGCGTTCATACTCATAACTTACAGAGAAGCTGCACTCTGTGGCATTGTAATACTCGCTGCAGAGACTCACCGTTGCCTTCTCCAAGCACTGCAACAGATGGTGGTGCTGAATTTCGAAGATGTCCTCGTCTCGTAAAGCATCGAATGAGAGCAGACCTTGAAAAATCGATTTATTGACTGACTGAGGGGGGGGGGGGAGGGCACCACGGCATTGTGCTGGGAATGGTCGCAAAAATACTTCCGCCATCTTCTCCAGAAACTAAAAGATTGATTTCTCCGTAACGCTTAGCGGAAAAGGGCTTCAGGCAGTGGGGAAGGGCTATGAGCAAGACTGCCCACTCCTATTCTTATCTTGTCTGGGCCCTCAACCGAACTCACGAGCGCTTCCTCGCTGAGATGGCGCAGATAAGTAGAAACTGGGCGCGGTCCTACCTAACTATCACGTAATCCAGCGCCAACGAGTTTACTAAATTTGGAAGGGCTCCAGTATACAGTGCGGCCCGCAGATTCCATTAATCATCTTCGTTAAATTCTTAGAAGGACAATTATTCCGATGTCCCCTTGGGAACTACTCCACTAATCAATTATTGATTGACTGGACAGCACTGCATGCGCTGAACGTGGTAGATTTCAGAACAAACCTTGTTCGAACGCTTTCATCCTGGCCTCATGGAGCTTTCTTCTTGTTGAATAACGCTTGTCCAGAAGCATTCTTTACTATCCGAATTCGAGCCAACCGAGCTTTCTGGAAAAATCACACCAATGGACTCAGAAGACGGGCCATTGATTCGATGAGCGAATCAATAAATCGATAAACGAGTGAGCTAACCTTCTGCGCTCGACGCTTGTCAGCTCGCTGATTTTGATGATAGATACGTGAGAAGTTGCTCACGATAACCTTAACAGGGGAACTTTCAATGAAGAGGGAGTACTGGCGAAGAAAACAGTTTCCAACAAAACAAGAAAAAATTCGAAAAATTGACAGTTGGAAGCTTACCGGAACCGGCAGCGCGATTACCAACACACCCGACAAGGAGCAAATACCACCGACGATTTTACCCATTACCGTCGACGGTACCATATCACCATAACCCAGTGTGGTTAACTAAATCCATTGATCAACATTCAATCAATTATTGATTGGTTCAGAATGCATCGTGAAAGGAAAGAACTAACCGTAACAATTGTGTACCAAAACGCTGCCGGAATCGATGTAAACCTAAAATGAGAGGAATGCAGTAGAACACTTACTCATCGGGATACTGTGGGAAGAATAGATATTCATAAAAAAACCAGTATAGAGTAGAATATATAGTAACATCAAAATTAGTTGGGCAGTTCTGAACTATTTGTGTTCGCAGGGTTCCCGCTTTCAACTTCTAGCGACCAAATGGGAGTTGATTTTCGGTGGTAATGGTCCTGGGGCAGGGGTAGGGAGGGCAGGACATAGAAAGACTTCGTGTGCAAAACTGAGTGACCTTCAGCCGATAAGGTTACCGTACTTTGATTGGGAGCCACTTCCCTTCTTCCTCCGCAGAGATCCTCAGTTTCGTCACCATACTCTAGCTGTGCCCAGGGAGTCCTTTAAACGGCCACTCGAGATACAGAGTTCCAGACATGGAGAGTGTTGCGTCTGATTATTGGGAGACTGAAGTAAGCGAGCTCTTCACAGGTGTTCAAATTCAAGAAGCTTAAGTTTAACTCTGAGATGCTACAGCCTTGTGTGGCTTGGCTTTGCTTGGAGTGGCTCCCATGTTGCTGGTGGCTGCGTACAGCCGCTCAAAGAAGAGTTCACGCTGATTGTCTGGGCGGAGACAATCAACGTCAAACGTTCTTCATTGGTGCGAACTCTTTCTGAGACAACAGAGAGAGAAAACACGACTCAAGGCTTACCACGGCCCCTTCTGCTCTCTCGTAAAAATTCCTATTCATTCTAAAGAACATCCATATCGTGGGCGGAAACATATAAAGATCTCCTTACCATCTATAATCGTTGGGCGGGAAAACATTATAAAAATCGAAGCCACGTTTTCCCATGGGCTCTATTTTCGGCAGAGGAGATGAAGAGCGGAAGAGGAAAAGTATGCAAGGAACAGTCAGAGCTACTCGAGGGTTCTATGAACGAATACGTTTGACGCTGGCGTCACTTAACGTCGCTCTAAACCCCAATGTTCCAACTAACTTCGTCACCATCTCGTACTTGTGGGCAATCGAGGTTCCAGTCATGGCGATTCTTTTCAGCGGCAGAACTGCTTTTGGAAACGATCTTCATTTCCGCGACCGTGACCATTAATTACCCCTTCATGTAAGTTTATAACGATTCTGGCGGAAAAGCTGAGGCGCCAAATTGGCACCTAGTGGGGCTGACGTCAAAATTCATGCCACATCCATAATTAATTCACCAATTAACTCAGGGTCACAGGACATCCATTCAACCGGGATAGTTTCTCCCTGCAAGGATCCTTGAGTATTTCCTCATCGCATCCTCTGACCGAGCAATTCGAGAAAAGAAAATAGGGACGAGGGAAGGAAGAAGGGAGGAAGGAAGACTCCCTGAGACGCAACTCCGGAAGGAAGCGGTGAATTTGCAGTAGAGAACTTGAAGTTTTCTGGGATGCACAGGGGGGGGGGGAAAGACACTTTCGGCAACTAGCAAATGCCCACATCGGAACCAGACTTGAGACGTCGTCTGGCTGGCTGTAATTTGTCGTCTTTGTTAGGTGGGGGAAGCACCCAGTCGAACCTGCCAGTTATCACGTTTTCGTTCGATATACGGCTCCAAGAAACAAGCAAACGATGCACCGCGAAACTGTCACAACAGCCACAGCAAGCCACAGCTATCAGGGGGGAGGGCAAAAAAAGGACCTTTTCGACCGAGTCACATATCAGCAAAGTTTTCGCTGCCCAGACAGAGGACGTGGATACGAGTACCAGGGCGGAAGATACCCAAGATGTTCCTCTATAAGCAGGAGCTGGCTCTCGCCCATCACCTTCATGTACACCAAAATATGAAGTCATCTCCAAACAGCTGCGAAACTTCTTGTATGGAGTCACCCATGGATAGCTACCTGGAGACCAGTACTCTCGATCTGGAAGACCTCCAACATCGAGCAGCTCCGACAACGTCGCTACGGTCCAGGATATCATCTTCACCGCAGTCGCCAAGGCGCGGGTTGATGGTATGGACCGGAAGTTCCTGGAATGGGAAGACCGATATTTTCTTCGTGGACCCCGGACTGAAAGTGAACGCTGACGGTTACATCGACCAACTCGAGGAGAATATCCTGCCTTCATGTCGTCGCCTGTACCATCTTGGAAACTTTGTACTGCTACAGGATTGGGTGCCAGCACATGGAATCGAAGGGCGTTGGAAAAACTCTCGCCTACTTGGAATGGAAGAGCGTTGAGTACCTGGAGAAGGATATTCAAGCGTGTCATATGACGTGAACCCTCTCGATTAAAGGGTTTGCTAGGAGCAAACAGGGTGGTCTACAGTGGCGGAGAAATCAACGACCTCGCTGAACTCAGGCACCGAATCACGGTCGCGTGGCAGAATCTCTCGATGGCGCTCGTCCAGAAGGCTGTGGCGGAGTATCGTGATAGTGTACAATGTGTTGTTGAATATGATGGTGGAAATGTCCAATCAGAATTCAATAAAGTGTAACTTATATCGCCTCGAAAGTCGAGGAAGAAAAATATCCCCCCCCCCCATGTATGCAGGGGAAGGGGCCAAAAAAGTCACTTTTCTTCAT